AGCACGTGCAGATTGTTTCTTGTGTTTTCCTGAACACTCCAGGAGAAGTTTGCCCTGATGGCTCAGAAGGCTTACGTAATGGAAAGTATGGCCTACCTCACTGCAGGGATGCTGGACCAACCAGGGTTTCCCGACTGCTCCATCGAGGCTGCCATGGTGAAGGTAACCCCAGCACAGCCAGAGACAGACAGAAAAGCTCTTGAGCTGCCGCCTTGCAGACCCAGTGTTGCTTGCCATCTTCCTCTTCTCATTAGTTTATAGGTCAGCTTATCGTTGACCCAGTATTTATGACGTACCCGCCATGTGCAGGCTCGCCTCTAGGACGCAGCTGGGGGACCAGAATAGCCCAGGAGAAGCAGCAAAGAACAGTGCCCAGTTGAGTGCCAGTTTACAGGACAGGTCAGCATCTCCCAGTGGGTTTGTGCTAAGTTGTCACCAGCTGATTACCAGTCTGTAGCAGAAAGGGAAAATACTGGTCATGTGTTATACTTCATATTAGTGTAAGATAGCAGCCTGGCTTTCTTGGGAAGGACTGTCTTTTATTCTGAGCATATTGCCTTCCTACTTTTTTGTATCAAAACCTCCCTTTATGATATATTTGGTTGAGGTGCCCATGGTTATTTTCAAACTGGGCTCTGAATTAAACTCCTGAGAGAAATGGTGAGCAGTATGCCAGCTTCAAGTGACAGTCTAGTGTCGGGAGGAGAATGTGCCTAACCAGGTTGGAACCACGTGTAAGGCTTTAGTGAGTTGCTGTGTTGAGCCTCTGTGCTGGTGTTTCTGCCTTCCCTGTAGCCCCTCGTCACCCGTCAACAATGACAGACGGTCACCGGCCCCCATCAGCAGCTCCTCTTCTGGAGCTCAGCCCAGGGCCGAGTCTGACAGTCTCGCTGCTCTCGGGGTGTTCACGTGGGGACAGACACATAGCCTGTCCACATAGGGCCAGGTGTTCAGCCACGTAGTTCCAGTGCCGAGGAGCCAGTCGCAGGCGACCAGGGCTGGGCGGGAGTGGGCCAGGCTTCCCAGAAAAGGTGACACCTGAGGTGGCTTCTAAAAGGACGGGCTTCCCCAGGTGGGGAGGGTGCGGAGGAGGCCTGTCCACCCCAAGGAAACCTCCCAGGTATGAAAAGTCACGGTGGCGGGGGAGCCACAGCTGGTCAATATGGTCGAGGAAGGAAAAGGCCTTGCCTGAGGCCACCCAGTGAGACCGTGATAGTCAGGGCTCCTACGGGGGGTGGTCTCATCCCAAGGCCCGGTTCTCCACACCGGGCCTCCCACTCCATCCCCGGCCACCTGCCCCCATGGCTGAGGTCCTCCTGTAGGAAGGGGCTCGGCACCCTTCACCCTGTGCTCACCTTGCCCCTGGGTCCGTGGCAGGTGTTCAGCTCAGAGGGCGCCTGGCAGTGCGTGAGCGAGGCGCTGCAGATCTTCGGGGGCTCGGGCTACATGAGGGACTACCCGTTTGAGCGCATTCTGCGTGACACCCGCATCCTGCTCATCTTTGAGGTGAGTGCCCGCTCTCGAGCCTCCTGGTCCTCGGGGCTGCC